CGAGGCAGCGGCACCGTGCGCCATTTGTAATCACTGAGGCGGTTAGAGTTGTCCATGCTCTCTCGAACACAGGCTCGAAAAGTCTCGTCCGGAAAGAAAAAAATACTATAAAAAATCTTTTTTTGAACGCCCCTGCGTGCCGTTTGAATCGCGCGGCGCGTCACGTGGTGCCGTAGCGAGCGCGCCATTGGCTAGAGCAGTGCCCGCTTGTCCCTTCGGCCCCGCTCTGCATCGCAAGCTGAACTTCGCAAGGATTTATTCAATTAGTTACGCGATGAATCCTGCCAAAAAGCAGGTGTACAAGGTGAAAAAGTACCGGACGATAAATAAGTATGTGGGAAAACGTCGTAAAGTGCGTCGTCAGACTGCGGCAAAGGTGAACGGGCCGGAGAGGTCTAGGCCTAACCCCAGCGTCGGCAACTATCGCGACAGTGACTTCGCCGGCGGCCTCGACGCTGCCGCAAACTTCGTCAGCGCCTCACAAAAAAAACTGGAGTTTTTTGAAAAGAACCAAAGGCGTGCGCATGATGGCGTATCATCAGCAGTGCTGTGCGACATCGATGCGATGACGGCACTTGTGGGCGGAGCGGAGTGCCCGTCTTGCCGTGAACACAAACTTGTTGTTCGCGAGGTGGCAGAACGGCGCAAAGGACTGTCGTCCTGTCTCGAGTTGCGGTGTGAGAACAGTGAGTGCGCGTCTGGTGTTCTCTCTTCGACACATACGTCGAGGCGTGTTGCCTCCGGCGAAGCCGCCGCAGCATCTGACGACTGCGCGGAGGTGGGACACTACGGCAACGGCAGCTCGCGCGATAGCTTCGCGGCTAATGTGAAAGCTGTTGTAGCCTCGTGTGCCATAGGCATCGGACATGACCAGCTTTCGCGGTTTTGTGCGATTGTTGGACTAGCGAAGCCCATGCACCACAAAACCTTCCAGGCAATCAGCAAGAAGGTTCACGATGCTGCTATGAGGGCCGTGACCGAAAATTTGAACCAGGCAAGAGCCGTAACAAAGCAGGTGGTTGGTAGTAGTGACGTGGCCGTAATGTATGATGGAACTTGGCAGAAACGGGGCCATAAAAGCCACAACGGAGTCGGCGCGGCTATCTCCTTGGACACCGGCCTGTGCTTAGATTTCGAAGTGCTGTCAAATTACTGCCACGCTTGCAGTCTACACAACGACATGGGCTCTGAAGAGGAAATCTGGCAGGCCTACCACAGACCTGTCTGTGAGAAGAACACCGACAGCTCCGCTCATGGCATGGAAGCTGAAGCAGCACTACGGATATGGGAGCGCACTTTGCTGTATGAGACTCCACTTCGCTTCGCAACATTTCTTAGTGATGGCGACAGCAAAGCATATAGCAGAGTTTGTGATGCCAAGGTGTACGGTGCAGGTGCCATCTGCAAGGAGGACTGCACTAATCATGTTGCGAAGCGCCTAGGCACTGGCATACGCAAATTGCCGACACCACTGCCCAGAGGTGAGAAGCTCAAGCCTGCCACCATTGAAAAGCTGCAGACATATTATCAGATCGCCATCACGGGCAATAGAGGCAACCTACGGGACATGTACACTGCCATATGGGCGTCCTACTTTCATTCTTGCTCCACTGATGGTGCTGGCAGCCACAACTTCTGCCCACCAGGCCAAGAATCGTGGTGCAAGCACAAGCGTGCTGAAGCAATGGGCGAGCCTGCACCACAGCATACACCGCTTCTGACAAAGGCACAGGGCCGGGCACTGCTGCCCATATACAAGCGCCTTTCTGACGAGAAGCTGCTGGCCCGATGCCTTCGAGGGAAAACTCAGAACGCTGCTGAGTCTCTCAACAGCAAGGTGTGGCTGCTGTGCCCTAAAACAAAGTTTGCTTCCCGAAGTGCTGTGGAGACTGCCACAGCCATTGCTGTGCTCTGGTATAACCGGGGCCATGCAAGCTTCGAGGTGGTCCTGGAGGAGCTTGGTGTTCTACCACCAGCAAGCTTGACCACCCTGGGGGACTACAGCGACAAGAGGCGCATTCAGAAGATGAATGCCCAACAGACTGCTGAGGCGAGGGCTCACCGCCGCACATCGGCCAAGAGAGCTCGCCTACAGGACTCCGCTCGGAAGGACCGCGAAGGAGTTACATACAGTGCGGGTGAATTCTAGTCACCGTGGCCAGCTCCTGGACATACTGCCTGTGCATTAGACACACTTTTGAGTGTTTGCAAGTGCGCCCTAATTAGTAAACATGTTCCAAACTTTCAAACGCGTTTTTCTCATTTTGAAATTTTTGGCCACGGTCACATTTCACTCACATAGTTTCATCCCCTTAAAATTGTCCTATTGCGATGAAACTTGGCACACACATTCTTCAAGGTGTGTAGAGTGCCGTTATCTATTCTGATTTATGATGCATAGCCATTATCAATAAAAACATACCAAGAAATGATACAAGGAACCCTGAAACAAAGAAGTTTGGCAGATCTGTTCATTTTTTGTAGTAACAGCTTTTTTTTCTCGTAATTTTAACCTCTTAAATGCACACAGTAGTTCATGACAAGCATAATAAGCTATTACACAAACATCTACACAAAAGTTTTGATGTCGAAAAAGCGAGAGTAAAAATCCCTTTGTTTTGTTATTGCATGTATAATAACTTTAAAAGTAATGAGGCTACACAAAATCTGACAACAGTTTTGGAATCTACAAGAAAAAATATCTCTGTGGCTAAATTTTGGAAACCCTAACTTGAAAACTAAAGAAAAAGTGTTTTCGAGTAGCGTCTCCCCTTAAATGAGACTAAAATGGCCGCGTTACTTGACATGGTTCTCAGGCACCGCCGCGTCAAATATGACCGTTTTTGAGGTAGTTTCGCGAAGGCAAACGGTCACGAAACCGACTTTGAGACTGAATTACTCTGCAGATACGCATTCCATAGCAACAGCATTTTAGAAACACCTTCTTCACGCCCTACATATTATTAAAAAAAAAAACTTCAAAAAATAGATTTTTCAAAAATCTTTAGGTCTGACCCGTGTCTCCCCTGAAAGCACACTAGAGGTGAGCAATCCAACTTAACCGTCACGCAAACGTGTTCGACGCGCAAGAAATAAGAAAAGGCAAATCTGCGGGTTGCCCATTGCCGCTGACAGTAGCGATGCACTGCCTTCCGTTTTGGTTGTTTAAACCCCCATATATGTGTGTATGTGTGATTTTTTTTTATGCCTTTGAGATATACTACCCATGAACGAATTTTTAAATCTCAGAGGCCGCAATCAGATCCCAAAGTTGTTTAGATGCGCTGTCGATTTGGCCAACAGAATCCGCTGCTGCTTCCTTGTCGTGACTCGACTACGGTCGGGTGCTCGAATTGACCGAAGCGTGGCCGAATTTGTCTGAAATAATGACAGTTTCTAATCATAGAACAATGCACATTTTGGACGGCACCAGACGCCGTGGCCGAATTAACCGAAATTCCAAATTAAAGGGTGTCAAATTACCCAGATTTTATTGTACACAGAAACTGCGTCGAATCACGACCGAAATTCCGCGCGCTGAGTGATACCAATTGTTCAATTTCCCTGTGCACACCCGTCGTCCATGCCACTTTTTTCATTAACGATATCATTTCATATTCGTCAACAAAGCCAGCAAAAAGAATTTTCTTGATTCCATAGAAAACCACAGCTTTGTTCGCCCGCAAGTCACAACTACTAATCAAAAGTGACCAATGCTGCTTAAGCCTAGCTTGCGGCTAGGCATGTCGTTACAAGAAGTTTGTCCAAAACAACATGTCCATGAAGCGCAAGTGGTATGTTTATACGTGGGTCTCTATGGGAAGGTAAATGGGAGTAAAAAAAACCATGTTGTAAGTGATCCTGCACTATAAGCAGCTACATTATAAGCGGTCTACTTGTACACACTTCGCCATTCCGTTTGTGCATCATTAGCGCTAACAATGATGCCTTGTTATTGCAATGAGAAGCCATAATAGAAAATGAAATAGCTGCATTACAAAATTAGTCCTAGAACAAGAGCTCGGAGCATGTAGGACTACCTTTGTCATATATAATTCGGACAAGAAATGCAAACAAAAAATTGAAATTTTGGTGTTCTAAGATGGCTTCATGGCAGTGCTGGACAGCTATGCAAGAAAGCTAGCTTTACAGCTATACACAAGAAAGGGTTTAGGTTTAGAAAATTTGCTGCGAATAGTTCATGTTAAACTTGACAAAACGTCACAAATGCACAAAGATAGAGAGCGCAAGGGCAATTTTATATTTTCTTTATTTTTTTACTTTCTAGCAAAGTGTCAATGCCAATCTATAAGGCAATTTCGAAACATGAATTTTACCAGATCCAACAGCTGCGAATGTTAATTCTTAACTGTCTAAAATGTAGCTTGTGGGGGCTGCTATCACCCCCTGCGAAGTTGTTTGCACTTCATGGCACACACGCGTTTGCCGGATAAGTCACATTTAGGGTTCAAAACCATCGAGCGGTATGTGAAGTTGTGCTCGCGAGCGTTTATCTTCATCATCATGGTTGGTGCGATAGTGCCAGCAGTGGTGCCCGACGGTGAGGCTGGATGGCGGCACATGAACGGTTCTCTTTGTTGTGTGACGGCTGGCACTAATAGCCGCCTTCTCGCGGCGGGTCCATGGCAACGGGGCTGCGGACCGTTTGCCACGGGCCCTTTCGTGGTGAGTCGAGCAATGGCGATGCTGCCTTTGTGCTACCTTGTTTGTTGTCACATTGTAGATTGTGTTGGAATATTGTATAAGGTTGTGTTTAGTGTATCACTAGGGATGTGATTTGGCTGACCCTATCATCGATGAAAAAGTAGTTCAATTAATGTGTTTGCTTCGCTTGATTTGACCGTGTTAACTGTGTCTGCGTGCTCCAAGAGCGGCTCTCATTTTGGGACCCACAAGCTCTACCACACTACCTCCTTCTTTCCACCAGCCACAACAGCCGCGGGTGACGAGACAACAGGAGTTAGCAACCACAGACTCACTGTGAAGAATGAAGCTGCTGGAGAAGCAGAGGCAGCGGACCATGGAGGAAAGAGCGTCGTCCGTGGAGCGTGCTTCCACCTGGCGCTCCACGGGTTTGGCCTCTGACAGTGGCGAGCCAGGGTCGATGGCGGACTCATTGTGCCGAGATGCAGGGCTTGCTACAGCAGAAGACGTGCTTCCTTCTTCCTCTCCTCTCCTGCGAAACACTTCCAAGCTTCACCAAAACGTAGGGCTCGACTGCCCCCCCTTTGAAACATCTTCCAACTCAACCAAGAACTTCTTGTTGGGCAAGTTGGTGCTTGTCTTACTGTAGAATGTGAGCTCAAACATCGGACAAACACAAGAAAAGCTAAGTAGACAGAAAAAGCACGATGGAGACAGACAGAATGCACTTTCTGTCTACGTTTTTTTGTGCGTGTGTGTTCATTCGATCTTTGCTCACATTTCCTACAATTCACTCAATCTAAGTCAGCAAAATGCCTCAAGACTGTGTGGATATCTAGACTGAGCCAAATCTGTGCGCAGCGCACTATTTCACAAAATGTGTAAGTTTTTTTGAAGACACCAACAGACTGTACACAATGTGCAGTACTCCTGGATTGAAACAAAACAGAACGCACATACTGTCATCTCCATGGTAATCAGTTTGTGTCATATTATGATCTTGACTCTGACACTTAGGACACATCATCTTGACTCAGACACTACTAACTCAGAAAACACTAAGTGGTCAGATTCGTAGCCACATGACGCAATTATCTCAAGAAACTGCAAGTATCATTCTTTATGCTATATGTTTCATGTCCATTTCTATCTATCAGCACTGTACATCAACCAGACAGCCTAGTTTGTCAGAGTCAATACGAAAGTTAGGGCACTAAATTGTGCTTAAGGAAATGCACTATGAACTCAAAAATGAATCTGACTGATGAACGACAAAGTAGACTTGAAAGGCACCATTATTATTCATTAAGCATTTCTGCCCTGCTGTATGTTTTTGAAACAAGGTAGTGAATGCAAAGTGCATTTAGAAATCAGAATTCTCCCCGACTAGCGCAGGAACATAATGTACAAATGTACTGCTGAGCATCACGTCCACCTAACAAAGGGAAAATAAATAACGCACCTCGGCCTTCGGCTCTCCGGCGACTTGGTCATAGACTTGTCCTTGCGCCCTCTCTGGGAGCGGCCCTTGCGCAGACGACGAAACGACTCACGCAACGACTTCTTGAAGGACTTTCGGCGAGACATCATGTCACCAGATGCAGCCAGGTCTGTGCAAGCACAAAATGGAAATACAGTGAAACCTCGTTAAACCGTACCCGCGTAAACAGTAGTTTCCTTTTAAAAGTAGTGAAGTCATATCCCCGACTCGGCGGCCATTGAACATAATGCATTTAGTATTCGCATAAGCCGTACCAGCTTATCGCGTATGTATTGGTTAATAAGTAGTTTTTCCAATTTTCGTTGTGCACTCGCCACGGCGTGTCGTCCCCCACTGGGCGTCCCGACAGAACAGCAAACCCCAAAGATCGAAACACGCCTCGCTTGTTTGTGTTGATGATGATGGCGGCTGCGTTGGTGAGCACCATCTCTTGGATTTTTCTGCAACAAGAAGCACTCGGCCGGCTAGGCTTCTGGTGTTGTCCACGCAATGGCGCTTTGCAGAAACACGCAAACACGGTGTGCGCTTGCTTTGCTTTCTTTGTTCATTTGGCGCCGTGCATAGGTGTTCTCTGGTTGATAAGTGCCGTACAGCCCTCGCGTCGTTTCTCACGTGTTGTGTATGTGTGCTTGTGCTGCTTCGTACTTGCATCATGCCAAAACTGACAAAAGCATAAAGTGCTGAAAATAGAGGAGAAATCGGACATAATTCGTGCTATTGAAAGTGGCACGAAAAAATCTGCGCTGGCGAGCGAAAAGGACCTGCTGTTAACCACGGTGTGTGGAATTTGGAATTCCAGAGAGAAGTTGCTCGGCAGTGCTGCCGCAACTGCGAAAAGGTGCCGGCTACGCGGTTCGGCGTTTTCGGATATAGAAGAGGCGCTGGTGAAGTGGCTAAAAGCTGCACAGTAAAAAAATCTGCCTATCAGCGGACCCCTGCTCGTGGAGAAGGCCCTGGTTTTTGCCTCGCAGCTCAACCATGACAACTTCGTGTGCAGCAATGGCTGGCTGGCCAGATTTAAGGCGAGGCACGGCATTACCACGAGGACTGTTTCGGGAGAAGGTGCTGCTGCTGACGTGGATGGCACGGAGCAGTGGCAAAATGGTCAGCTGAAGAACATCTTGGAAGACTACGCACCTGATGACATCTAATATGGATGAATCGGCGCTATTCTCTAAGCTGCTACCAGACAAAACGTTCGCGTTCAAAGGCGAGACGTGCACCGGCAGCAAGCATGCAAAACACAGAATATCAGTGGGGTTTTGCGTGAACATGACTGGAACCGACAAAACTCCGCTCCACGTGATTGGAAAGTCGGCGAAGCCTAAATGCTTCAAAGGCGCCCGGTTGCCATCAGGGGGTCATCTATCGCAGCAACACCGAAGCATGGATGACGGCAAAACTCTTTGAGGAGTATGTGCGCCTCATCGATCGTCGTTTTGCGTCTAAGAACAGAAGTGTTATTATTTTAGACAACGCTTCGGCGCACGTCACCCTGGACAACCTGACGGCTGTGAAGTTGGCATTTCTGCCACCAAACACAACAGCGATTGCCCAGCCCTTGGACCAATGCATCATTCGAGCTGTAAAACAGCTCTACAAGAAGAATCTGCTGCGCAGATTTCTTCTCGCCACTGAATGTGGCAAATTATTCTCCATTGACCTGATTGGCGCGATTCACCTACTCGAATACTCGTGGCGGCAGGTCGAAGCAACGACAGTTCAAAATTGCTTGAAGCGTGCTGGCTTCAGTGTGTGTGCGGGCGACGCAGATGACGCCAGTGACACCATCGACCAGACTTCGGACATCGTAGACGAAGCTTGCAAAACTCTGCTAGCTGAAGTGCTGGAGCGGCAGGGCGTTACAGAAGGCATTTCCTTCCCCGACTTCAGAGACGCAGACAGCGATGTGCAGACATCTCCGGACATGTCCGACGAAGCCATTGTTGCCTCGGTTGTCGAAGTGTCCTTAAATGATAGTGACGAGGACGACATGGAAAGCAACAACACGGGTGATCCAGGTCCGACAGTGGCCGAAGCTTGATTGATATGTGGGGTTTAACGTCCCAAAACCACTATATGATTATGAGAGACGCCGTAGTGGAGGGCTCCGGAAATTTAGACCACCTGGGGTTCTTTAACGTGCACCCAAATCTGAGCACACGGGCCTACAACATTTCCGCCTCCATCGGAAATGCAGCCGCCGCAGCCGAGATTCGAACCCGCGCCCTGCGGGTCAGCAGCCGAGTACCTTAGCCACTAGACCACCGCGGCGGGGCATCAGTGGCCGAAGCTGTGCATTGCGTCAGCGTCATGCGGGTATTTGCCGAGAAGAGGGGCTGGCGGAAAAGCTGGCTCACAGCATAAGTGAGTTTGAGGTTGCTGTCGTTGCTGCTAGGCCGCCGCGTCGTCAAATGAAGATTACAGACTTTGTCACGCGAAGTTAATAAATTACTGCACGTCTTTTGTTCTTTCATTGCACTCCCTAAAGGTTTCTTTTTTCGACAGGTAAGTGAGCGACCTTACGCTATTTCGGTTAAGCAGTACTACCGTTCAGTACGTACTTTTTCAGAGCTCCAGCCAACTACGGTTTAACAAGGTTTCTCTGTATCAAGGTGGGAGTGAATACCATTCAAACCCTGCTTAATTATATCATTTATGACTACTGACACTAGTAGAGCCATCATACGTTAAAATGTATGAAGCTCCAAGCTTTTTAAACCCAAAGGGAGGATCTTAGTAGAAAATGAAACTTACCGTTCGGGTTCAGCGTGCACTTTGACACAACCACCTTCTTCTGTACATAGTCCAGGACTCCAAATCCATGGGCGGTTCCGGCGGCAATGCTAAATAAAAGACGATGCACTAAGGTAACCCATTTTGCACTTCGCCTAATGTGCACAACTCGACAAAGTACACCAGTGCGTTGCGCTTTTTGAAAAGCATTTGCAGATATTTGCAGGACTGCATTCAACATAGCCAGCGATGATAATGTGGTGGAGTAAAACCTCATTGATATGTTCCCACTTCCGATATTAGGGATATCTTGATAAAGCACAACTTCGCCATACTTTAGTGAGTTCGGATTGTGCACTTACCTAGCTATCACAATTTAAAAAAAAAAAGAAGCTTTTTGAAGAACATATGGACAAGATACAGTACTAGAACACCAGAAGTCATGCCTGAAAGCACTGTGGAGTACAGCTTAGGTTAAGGGAGGACGAAGCTCTCATTTATAACTTTCTTATTTCTCAATGAATGCTGATGAAAATTTGCACGTTTGTTGAAAATGTTTTTAGTGCTACTCTTGAAATTTCATGAAGATACCGTATTTACGTGCATCATCTTCGCACTTTTTGCCCGGAAAACTGATGCGAATTTGGGGGGTGCGAAAATTACGCGGGGAAAACTTTCTGCAAAAATGAACAAAGCGAGAAAGAAAACGAAATGGCCGCGAATCAGGATTCTCACGCCAGCAACTAACTGCAAGCTTTGAGAAGTACTAATTAAGGGGGGACGCGGCTTTGGGATCGCAAAAAATGGCAAAAAAATCGATTTTTTGAAACTCAAGTTTTCAGTTTCTGGAGCCCCTTTTCTATCTGGTTCCAAAATATCTACACTGAAAACCGCGCAGAAGTGCTTCAGAAAATTCGTTTGACCCACCAACCGTATTTACTCGATTCTACCGCGCCCTCGATTGTAACGCGCACCCAATTTCCACCGCGAAAAAAAAAAAAAAAAAGTAAGACATTGATTGCAACGCGCACCACCCATTTTTCTTGCTGGCCCGCACGATCACACCACTCGAAAAAACGACTCCTTTCGGGAGCGTCTTCCATTTAAATATGAGGTACGGGCGAAGCTTGTGCCCATCTGACGTGTAACAGAGCATTGCCGTCACTGTAGTTTTACCGTGGACCGATGTCAGCACGCGAACTTGCTTCGCCTCCTTCTCGACGGTTGTGGTGCCAGATATGTCGAAGTAAAGAGGCGCCTGATCGGCATTCCCGATTTGCCCAAGCAGGTAGCCGTTGTTGCGCCGCAAGTTTAGGACGAACCTCTGAAAACTGTGAAGCTTTTCATCGTACTCCTCCGCAAAAGTTTTCGCATATGCATGTTCCCCTTCGGAGGGAAAGCCTTTCCTCTTCATAAAGTTAGTTAGCCAGCACCTGCTCGCTTTAAACTGGCTCTGCATTAGCCCTTTTTCTAAGACCAATTGCACAGCCCGCACTTGGAGCAGTTCTGTCGTCACGGGCCGCTGTGCCGCTCGCTGCTCAAGCACATACTCGCCTAGCAGCTCTTTAATTTGCGGAAACAGACCCTGCTGTGGTCCACTGAAGCCTTTGCGTAAAGCTTTGCTGTCGACAATCTTCTGCTTTTGTTTCTGCCAGTCCCGCACGCACGTTTCGGGAACTCCGAACGACCGCGATGTGGCCCGATTTCCGTCCATTTCTGCACACGCGAAGACTTTTCTTTTAAAAGCGGCATCGTGGTGCACTCGAGTTTTTGGAGTCGGCCCTTCCACACCGTCGATGCTAATGCACTACTAGATGACGAACTCCTCAGCACACGTAGGAAGTGCCGCACATGGGAAACACATAGGCAGAAATGGCCGATGCGCCATGCCGACGCACGTAGGGGGCGGCCATTTTGGATTTGCCGATGGCAATAGATTGACCTTAATTTTTTTGTTCGTACTCGATTCCAACGCGCATGCGATTCATGAACTCGCTTAACCGGAAAAAAGGTGCGCGTTAGATTCGAGTAATTACGGTAGGTAGCAAAACTTTTTCTGGAAATGGCGAGAAAACGGCGATTTTAAAAAAATTATAGCTTCGCGATGCTTGGGCCGGGAGCCGGCTTCTTGGGCTCATCGGAAAGAGCATCTCTCCAAGTTTAATTTTCCCGCCTCAGCTGGCTCCTTCCTTTAACAAGCGAGCAAAAAGCAAATGTTTGAAGGTCGTTTTGAGGCCCTTGATTGGCCGTGGCCGCCATGTTGCCTCAGCTCGCCTCGCCATTGGCCCGATGCTCGCTCCGGGAGATCGTCGTCTGCTGCTTGTACGTCGCGAGGACATGACTCTCGAAAATCGCCACTTCGTGACGTGTTCACGGCTTGATAATCACTTGAGATATAACTACGCTTTAGTTAGGATCAGTAAGCGGATGCGCGATCAGGTTACTACGAGCGGGAGCGCGGTCTACGAGCACCGCGCGTCATCGGAGTCGTCTTTAGCCCTAACTCCGCCGACAGCGAGACTGCGAGCAAGACAGCGAGACTGCGAGCGCATTCGTGGCGACGTGCTTCTTTGCAAGCAATGAAGCTGAAAGCGGCGGCACGATCTGATTGCTACGAGTGGCCGCACTGGATGCACAATCAGATTACTACGAGCGGGCGCGCGGCGGTCTACGAGTGCGGCGCGTCATCAGAGTCGGCTTTAGGCCTAACTCCGCTGACAGCGAGACTGCGAGCAGGAGCGACGCGCAAGCGCACTCTTGGCGACGTGCTTCTTCGCAAGGAATATACCACATTACTCGCTAGCTCCTCTGAATCTCGTACGGGTATTTTACGCATCGGCAGCGGACAACACAGTCAAGCTCTTCACACCCCCCCCCCCCTCACTGCCAAGGATCGCTCGAAACAGCGGCTAGCAGTTTCGCGCGTCGTCACTCGAAAATGCGATGCCAAGTGCAGTGCGTGCCGATTTTTTTGTCTTCGTAGTTACACATTTCGCGCATCGTCATCGAACGCCGCCGGCAACTGCATTACGCGCCGGCTGCACTGTCCACGCGGCAGCGCACCCCACGGTCATATGGAGTACTGTCAGTAAGCTTTTGTGATGCGATTCAGGTGTGCTTGGAGCCGTGCTTGGTATCGCCACGAACGTCTATGAATGTTCTGAGGCAATGAAAGCCTCGTAAATTAGCGTTTCCGCGACCGGCTGTATGATGATACATTTGACGGCTAGAGCGGCAAAAGAGCCCGTATGAATCAGGGGCAAGAATTTTTATATGCCCGTTTTACGTCATTAAATATACTGCAAAAAATTCCTGTGCCACCAGTTTTCTGCCCATAACTTTGTTATTTGGAAAGAAGGCATAGGCTGTCATGGTGTGATCCATTTTTCTGACGCAATAAACCTCTCTCTAATAACAAATGTTCAGTGAATACTTATAATCAAGAACATAATTACGCTAATTACAACTTCGGCACAAGAAATATGTGTAATCAATTCAGTATATGGCCTCATTCAATTACAATCTTTTCTGTCATGCCTATCACACCACTCCTTCATACAAAGAACTTGGTTTGAAATCCATACTTGTTCTTTGAAAAAAACATGAAAAGGAAATTATGGGGGGGAAAAAAAGGGCAACCAAGGCACACTGGTCAGAGACCAGATACTTGAAAAGTCAAATATCACAAGACAAACATAAGATCACAATCTTTAGGTGTTTTAGAGACGTAAAAAGAAGTTGAAACTTTAAACGCAGTTTTCTCAATACTGTTTTTTTGGCATTATACTCAGCTCGTGGAGCAGATATCTGGGCAACCACTGTACGGATTTTGATTCCGTTTATTTTGTAATGCTCCTTGAACTGTGCTTCAGCGGGCTGCGATCTTAGTTTTTCATTGTACTCCTTAAAGAATTTTTTATAGACTTTCTTGTTTGTAGTGCAAATGTGCTCATTGTAGTGTCGCTGGAGAAAACGTAAACAAACTTTAGTGTTGCAAATAAGTTATTTTGAGAACGCAGCCCCCTTCAACATACATTCGGCTGTGGATACAGCAATTACCAACCATTTTTGTCATTTTATAAATCCTCCAGCCCCTCCACGAGGTTCAATTGAAAAATAATTTGTCTCTCATTAAGTATTTCTGCTATCGCCTCGCAATTTTTGTGGATGCACGGTGAGGCCATTCTCAGTGTCTGTGCCGATTTTCATCATCATCCGACCAGAAACAAGAAAGTTCATTCTCAAAGGCACGTCCCCCCTTAAGGGGAGACGCTCCTCGAAAGCACTTTTTTTTTGTTATTCAACTTAGAGCTTCAGAAATTGGACCACTGATGCAGTTTTTCCTCCTGATTCCAAATCTGTAATCAGTTTTTACATAAGTGCAATAGTTTGGGAGTTGTGTTTCAAGTAATGGTGAAACTTGATAAGTTTTCTGGGAACTTTCGCGCATACTAAATGTTCATGCAGAGAGTTGTTCAATGGCTCCTTTTGCTCCCTATTAGCCATAGAGTGCCGATATCTAGCTAGAAATTGTGCTCCAACTTTGAAACTATGAAAAAAACATCTGTGTAGCAAACTACCCTTTTTTTTCCACTCGACCACCATTAAATTTATTAATAGATATTTACAGCTGATAGGTTGTGCTGATTCAAGTAGATATCGGCACCCTACGCACTCTCCTCAATGTGTGTGCCAAATTTCGTCGTCGTATGACCATTCTAAGTGCCCGAAACACTTCCCGCAAAAAATGCAAATTGGCCAAAATTGCGAAATGAGAAAAACGCGTTTGAAAGTTTGAAAGTCTGTATTTACAAAAATGAAAAACGCAGTAGCACGAAACTTGTGCTGAACACATACACACATGTCCAGAGGGAATATCAGTTGTCTAAAACTCTCCAGCACCGTAGGTTTTCCCTTCCCGGCTGGTGCGGCAGGACTCTTCCACCCGGGCCCTCTTGGCTGCACTGCGACGGTGTGCCCTCGCCTCAGCGGTCTGACGCACATTCATCTTGTGCATGCGCATGCTGTCTCGGCGGTCGCTGAGGGTAACCAGGGCCTCCGAAGGAAGCACCCCAAGCTCTTCCAGCACCTTTTCAAAGCTCGCGTGGCC